ACATTGAAATGATTTCAAACCTGTTTACCCCAATAATTATAAAAGAGTGCCTTGGAAATATTTGTTTACATAAATTGCATTTATCTCTCTCGCTCGATCCCACACCCACTTTGGCTGTGGCCTTAAAGCCCCTGTCACACTGTCCCGAAATTGACACCCGATGGACACACGATAAAGGAAATGTTCAAATTCGGCTGTGATCGTAGCAACATCGGGCCATTCGTGAGGGCATCTAAGCCATCGTATGACCGCCGGTGGAGTTTCTCAGGCTCCGGCAGCAACTTCGTGAGCGGCAACTTCGTAAGGCACTCGTGAGGGCATCTTGTCAAATCGTGTCATCTTCGTGTTATCATCGGTGCATTCACCCTCACTCTGATCGGGGCGAATGTCCGATGGCACCGATGATAACAAGATGCCCTCACGATGGCCTTACGAAGGGCACAATTGACACACGAATTCAACACGAAAATGAACCTTCGCAAGGTCCTTCGGCAATTTTTTGCCATGCCACCAGCGGTCATACGATGGCTTAAGATGCCCTCACGAATGGCCCGATGTTGCTACGATCAGAGCCGAATTTGAACATTTCCTTTATCGTGTGTCCATCGGGTTGTTTTATTGCACAACAAAATCATGTAAATATATTATGTAAATAACCCAATTTGTGTTCTGTGAAACTAAAAAGGATATAATATATTATTTTGAAGGAGAGTTGACAGGAAGTTGTTGTTGCTATGGAAACAACATTACGGAGAAAACGTAATATTTTCTACATATAAAGACGGATAAAGTAAAGAACAAAGTCTGAAGATATCAGTACAGTATCATAGTACTGTAACATAATTTTTTTTGGTACTTTCGTTGCAGTTGTATGTCTTAAATGTTATGTAAATGTTGCCTTCGTGTGTGGTTCGGGGCCATCTTCGTGCGAAATTCACAATTCCATATTCGTGTGTCCATCGGGTGTCAATTTCGGGACAGTGTGACAGGGGCTTAAACGCTTCCCACATTTACTTCAATCGTACAATAGAAAAGATAAAAGTACCCAAGGAATACACAATAGAATATATAAAGAATAAATGAAAAATCTCTACAAAAGACCAATATACTACAAAAACAGAAACGTATTGACATGTTGGTAATATACATCAAAAAGGCTTCAAATGTATTCGGTATTGTATGAACATGTTTGAATTGGGGTGTGGACGTCACATCCTCTAGGGGGGGTCCGGGGGTATGCCCCTCCAGGAAGAAATGTTTGAATATTTAAAGTAAAATGCTTCAATCTGGTGCACTTTGAGCACACATTACTAGAGACCTGACCTAGGGGGTACAACTCTAAACACCCATATGAAAAAGATTGGTTTACATTTTAATAATCAAATAAGTATGTGAACATAACCAATAACCTACCATAGCCAATAGAAAATAAATGCAACTTATTTTATTTTTGTTATTCATTCATATCTTATTTTACCAAGTTAACATTTATTTTTGCATATTTTTGTATCTCTCAAGTTTTAAACGATATTTTTGGTTTACTGTCCTATAGTATACATTGAAATGATTTCAAACCTGTTTACCCCAATAATTATAAAAGAGTGCCTTGGAAATATTTGTTTACATAAATTGCATTTATCTCTCTCGCTCGATCCCACACCCACTTTGGCTGTGAGCTGCGGGCGCCTGATAAGCCAACACCCCCCACTTTCATCACTTACAGCGCCCATCGTACAGGGCAAATGAAAAGTGTAACCGGGGTGAAAAGGGTGTTACCTTGACTTAATTATGAATGTTGTTACATCAAGGCCAAAAATTAGGATGAGCGCAAACAGTCAAAATGTTTTTTTCCCTCCCAGAGCTGCCAGCGCAGCGCCCCCCCCCCCCCAAATCTGGCGCCCTAGGCAACCGCCTATGTCGCCTATGCCAAGAACCGGCCCTGTACACCATGCTAAATGTATGTCTGCATAAAGCTGAGTTATGATCGGTCATAATAACACAGAATTTGGTGATGATTAAATAGTTTACCGTGAGATTTACTCCCATACTTTTGGCCATACTCACGCAGCCCTACAAATGAATTGAGATTTCCACACAAATGTTCTTTAGCAAGTGTGCAGAGCAGTGTTGATTTAAAAAAGCAATTTGAAGGTTGGATATTTGTAAACCTTTTTTTGTGTATATATATTCATAATTTAAGATGTAAATGAATTCCAGTTCATTTGTAGTACTTTCTATTTTTATTGTGACATTTGGTGGCATCAATGTCTGCATTTGATACAGATAATGGAGCAGTTGCTTTCGGGCAGTGCTTTTCAATGTGTGGTCCGTGGACCACTGGTGGTCCGTGAGCGCCCCCTAGTGGTCCTTGAGTATATTGGTAACATTTCACTTTTGAAATAAATAAATACATTTAAGTTTTCCGCACTCTCGCGATAATATCTCCTCAATGGAGCGAGCTTAAGTTTCACTTTCGATTGCGTGATATAGCCCAGATAAACACCTTCACCCCAAATGTTGCCACTTGTTTGTACCATTTTCAGGCGATTTGTAAAGAACGATGTGTTTTTGGATATTTGTGGAGTTAGGTGGTCCGCGAGTGTTTTTTTATTGGTTAAGTGGTCCTTGGTATGAAAAAGTTTGAGAAACACTGCTTTAGGGCCACAGTGTAGGCCTATATCCCTAAGGTCAAATAATGAGATCCTCGACCTCCGCCCCCCCCCCCCCCCTCTCGCACCTCCACACAGAGCCCCCCCACATATCAAATCCCAACTTAACCCCTGCTTCTAACTAATTAGGCTAACTTAAATAAACTCACTAATTAATGAAACCAGTTCAATACGCATTATTCTTATCATTATCATCATTCTTATCATCGCAGCCAGTAACGGTAAGGTATCTAATTACTTATTTATTTAGTATTCCGTAACTTAATAACAGAGATGGTCAAACTAAAGTGGTAGAGACATGGCAGAAATCCTACAATGAAGCGGGACAGTGAAGTATTCACCCATGAGAGGGCGATCAAGAAAAGAAAACGAGCGGCCCCGTTGAAGGAGTTTACAGATGAAAAGACACCAAATCACAACAAGTAGGCTATATTTAGGTGTTTTTTTGTAAATAACCAACGGTATCAAGAGGAAGTAAAGTCCCCTGGTTTGTCCCTTATTCCCTAACTGCCATGAGACAACTCAAAATCAAGTTTCTAAAATCCGACACTGAGGTGGTCTTAACGCACCGGCAGATGACGGCGCTGACAAAGTGTGTTTCCCGCAGCGAGACGCTACTAATTGTGGGCTTATCATGTTGATTCGGCCACAACAGAACACAAAATAATAAACTCTCGCTCTCTCCAGAGGGGCAGGTCAGCCAAAAAGGACAAACGGGCCGTTGCCCTGGCAACATTAGCCCGTACCTGTGCATGTCCCTGGTGTTGAACATAAACAACAATCTAAAAAAATAAGTTGTAAAAGTACACTCAGAAATATTTGACCTAATAATAACATTTAGAAACAGGTCAAAATGTTTTACTATTATAATTGTTATTTTTGTATAATTGTATTATTATTCAAGTCTTGTTGTGTCTCTTTGTCCCTCTGTATCTATTTGTCTTCATTTTGTTTCTCTTTGAAGTCCTTTTCTTTGGTTTTCATTTTGTGTCTCTTTATAGTTTATTGTGCCGCTCTCTCTGTAGTTTCCTTTGACTCTCTGTAGTTTCTTTTGTCTCTTTATAATTGATTTTGTGTCTCTGTAGTCATTTTTATTTGTATCTTTTGGGTAATTGTGTCTCTCTGTGGTTATCTTATGTATTTATTTCTGTGAGTGTAGGTCATCCCCCGTCACTTTTTTGTCATTTTGTTGTCATTTTACGTACATTTTTTTGTCATTTCGTCATTTTCTTTCATTTTAAGTTTCTGAGGAGACAAAGCCATGGACCAGTTTCTCAGCGTCTGACAGGGAGAGTGTGGACGGAGTTTTGCAAATGTTCCTGAGGTGGTAGTGTAGAAGGACATTTTGCTTGATGTGGGTGTCAAAGGTCAGATGTCGGTCAAATCTTACACCCAGGTTGGTAACTGATGGTGAAAGGAGTTTGTTTTGAATAAACTAAACTAAAACTAAAAAACAAAATAAATAAAATAAACCGTTAGGCCGTTAGCAAACGTGAGAAATTTCAGGCCGATCGGACAATATCTTTAGGAGTTAGAGCAGTAACACCAGGGCCGTCCCTCCTTACAGGCCGATCACGCGGACTGTGTGGGGCCTCACCTTGCAGGTGCAGACTTCCTGTACGTTTTTTATACACCTCCAAGAGGCTTTTTGGTTCGTCTCCGCACCCTAGATATACTAGCGAGTTTCGTTTGTTTACGTGAAAGTTGGGGGAGTTTACGTTAAAAACTGAAGTGGGCGTGTGCAAACTTCCGGAACCAATTACACATCGCAATTTTCACCAGTCCTGACGCGGGTGCACAATTTGGTGAGTTTTCACATTATGTTGCGGGGTCAAAATAAGCGCCCATGTCACTAGGCTGGCACTTTTTCTGTGCTTTTGTCCGTCGTTTTCCCTGTTTTGTGTTGGTTATTGCTGCGCGAGCAATTAGAATAGGGTCTTCGCCGACCTCTGGTCTCAGACCCTAATAACATAAATAACCCAATCAGATTAAAAAAAACTAAGCTAAAACAAGAGGTTTGCTGCTTCATAAATTCATGGGAAGGCTGTGGCTCAGTGGAATAGTGCGCTGAACTTCTGAATCAGGGGATAGCAAGTTCGAGTCCCACTGTAGTCAGCATGTCGTTGTGTCCCTGGGCAAGACACTTCACCCCAAAGTGCTCCTGTGGGGATTGCCCACAGTACTAAATGTATGTAAGTCGCTTTGGATAAAAGCATCTAACAAGTGACATGTAATGTAATAAATATATATTAATGAGAATTTCTAATATTATACACAAACAAATTATTTATACAGTTATATATTTATGACAGTTGTGGAGTTACTCCTCACATGTCTGAGGAAGCAGCGGGCCACCATGGCGGGCTCCCTCTGGCAGGCCTCCAGCTCCGGCAGGAAATAGTGGCTGTGGAAGTCGTAAAGCTTCTCCAGGTTACCGAAGATGACGCCTCTCTTGCCCCGGAGGTCCTGGGGGATGTCGGGTCGGTCCAGCAGAGGGAGGTAGTGCGTCAGGATGTAGCCCAGAGAGCGGACGTACTCCCTCTCTGTGAACACCAGCTCCTCCAGGACACGCTGCAGCCTCCTGGGAACAAGACAGAAAGAACTTCAGACCTAGGACACTCAAGAGCATATTCTTCATAAATATATTATTAGCTAGTAGTATTTGCAAATAAAAAATGGTATCTCTTCAACCGTTGAATAGATATTTTATGTGTTCTCTGCATCTGTACAAAACAAATCATATAAGTAAATGTTTTTAATTCTCATATTGGTCGTTCTGTGAATACTAATGTCACTCACAAATGCTTTGTACATTATTGTTTCTCACAATGTTACTCTGTGATCTCCTTGATTGGTTTTACAGCTAATTGATACTGAATTCTCAGATTTCCGGTATTTAGTTATATCTGAATTAGATACTTGTAGTCGTAGTTTTTTAAACGTACATTGAAAGCATATTGACAAAGTAATTTAATGTTTCAGCAGATGATACATTGACATGCTGTCCTTTTAATCTTACTCCATGCACTGTGATAGAAAAAAACTAAAAGTTGACAAGTGCAAAAAGAGAAGGGAAGAGAAGCAGAGAAAACAGTACCTGTAGCACTTCATTGGAGGCTTAGAGGCAGAAAAGAGTGCATGAAATGTCATTAAGACTCACAACATTAGTCAAATAAAGGCATGTCAATCAACTCACAGAATTATATCTTGCAGAGACAAAGTCAGATTAATTAGATTAGTAATGCAAGCACACTTCACCCACATGAAGTAAACTTACAGTGCATTGCTGGCACTCTCCTGTGGATTTGCCAAACCAAAGGCCCCCTCATATCTCCCGATGGGCAGGCTGGAGTGTTTGCAGCCTAAAGTCCCGTCCCCCCCCGCCGCCCCCCGGTCGCTCATACAGGAGTCCTCGGAGCAGAAGCTGCCGTGTCGGGACAGCTGGAACTTCTGAGCCTCCTGGAGGATCCGACAGGACGGCTGGCCGTGGTGTGAGCAGGACGAGGAGGGGCGTCCCCGCTGCTCTGGAGGAGTGGAGGACCCCGCCGTCACTGCTGCTGTGATGCACGAGTCCTGGCTCACCGACCTGGATCCAAGACCTCGTGCCCATGGAAACCACTGGCAACCGACAGTGTGGGACTGAGACAGAGCAGCGGCGTCCCTCTCGCTCCTCGCTCTACTCGTCTGTCTCCTCCTCGTCTCTCTTTCTGTTCTCCTTGCCGTCCTACTATTAGATTATGAAAAGGCAATTTACCAGAGTATTTTACACAGTGGAAACATCACAGACCTTCAGAGGGAACAGATGAGATCAATCAATTCATGTTTTGCTCTGTAGAATGTCAAAAGAGTTGAAACATTACCATCCCACTTTTTTCAAAGTCTTGGTTAAGGTCTTTAAATGTTGTGTTTTGTTAGTCCAAAATATTATGATATAAAACATAGCATTATCTGCCATTTTCACATAAAAAACGACTTAATCCATTAATAGATTGTTAAAATAGTTGATGATTAATTATTTGTATGATTAGTCAACTAGTGTATTAGTTGACTAATCCAACCAAGAACTCTGAATCCTGTTGAAAAATACCAAATCCTACCCAAGTGAGATGAATGGACCAACATATTACCTGTGAGGAGACTGTGGAGGGACCTTTGACTCCTGGCTGTGATTTTCAGGTTTGATGTTAGAGCAGGCTGCAGATGTTGGGTCTGTGTTGTTGCTGCCCAGGATCGGCCTTCTCTTCCCTAAATCCACGGCTCCAGACACTATGCTCTCCCACTGCGGGTGACCAGGTCCGGGTGTTGACTGTACCACCAGACTCTGGCTCCCAGGTGACGGTGTCTGGACAGTAGTGCTCACCACATCAACATAATGACCTTCACACCAGCTGCTAGAGTCTGGTTCAGGGTGGAAAACCTCATCCACTTCCTGGATCCTCTCCTGAAGCTGCTGCCTGGCCTCCTGGCATCGCAGCCAGGCTACGTTCCAGACCTGCATCCCCCTGGAGCCCCTCAGGGCGCTGGCCTGGGCCTTCACTTCCTGAAATGTATCTGGGCTGAACTGGAGGAACCTGTCTTGGAAGGTCTGGAGTACGGAGGTGTCACTGCTGGACGGTATAACACTGGTGGTGGTTGGGTGGGATGCATCAGATGGGAAAAGGGATGCAGTGCTCGATCGAGGGTCTTGGTTGTGGCGCTGTATTGGCTGAGGGTTGGCTTGATTGACAGGTGCTGTATCCTGGTCACGGTTTTGCTTTTGGTAGATTCTGGATTGAGTCTGGTCCAGGTACTCAATGCATTCGCTGGCCAGAGCATTAGCCTATTTCGAGATATGAGAAGTTATTTTTATTATTCATGATAAGAAATGTTCATGCTCTCATCTACTTCTTTAATATCATGTTACCCTCCACAGACATACATTTTATAACCTGACACAAATATCAGCGAAGAAGAAGCAGGATTGCACTTCACTATCATAAAACAGCACATACAAAAACTGCTTTCTTGAAAGTGATTACATCTCTGTGAAAGAGCAAAAAATGCATTGCAATGGCTTTCATTTCTAAGTAATGACCTTTAATTATTCATTTGAAATCATCCTAAAAGAGTAAGGAGTGTTTGACTAATGTATTGACTAAAAAATACTTCAATGTACTAAATTTGACGAGGAATTACTGTATTTGAAAGTATTTGAAAACCCTTTTCAGTTACATTGATGCGTGATTGGTTATTTTTGGCCCTGCATCATTCTGCAACAAGGATGTATAGTGGTTATAGTAATAGTATACTGTATGCATGAATGCGCAAAGTTATATTTGCAAATAATGATCAGAACACTATTTGGGGTAAAAGCACTAGCTGTACGAAGCTTGAATACTTGAATGTTTACTGATAACTGTTGTAATGTCTCACACCAACCTGCTCACAGAAATCACACACGTTGACCATGGTCTGCAGCTCCCTGCCGCAGGCCTCTGCTCTGCACAGGAACTCCTCCAGGCCTGACTTGAAGGAGCAGACTAGAGTCCAGAACTCCTCCGTCTCTGGGTAGGAGAGCCCACTCTGCTGGAGGAGCTCTGCCTCTGACACTAACGTCATGGCGTGGTGTCTGCGGTCCTGCAGGAGGAGGGAGAGAGAGATTCAGACAGGTGGACGGACAGAGGCACCCAAACACACGATAATAGCCACAAGAAAACATAGACTCACATTAGCTTCAATGAGGAAGCGAGTGAAGCTGTTGAGGGTCTGCTCCATTTGCTCTCCAGAGTCCTCGACTGACTCAGCCTCGGGCAGGTGGCGCTCTCCCTCTGCAGTAAACCACTGTTGCATCTGCAGGGAAGGGAGAGGCAAAACAATATTGTGTGTGTTAGTATGAGCATGTACATGTGTAACTTACTTTAAAAAGTCATAATCTAATCAGTAAACTATTTAAGTTCATATTTAAATGTATATGTGCGCATGTGTACGACTTCATTGATGAGCTTGGATAACGCACCTGCGTGAAGTGTCCCTCCATCTCTCTGAGTTGCAGCAGGTACTCCAGGTGTTCCACAGACATGTTGGACCTCTGCACGAGGATGTGAGCCTGCTCCTCCACGTAGTTGTACAGGCTGGACACCGAGTCCACTGCGTCACTGCACATGGGAGAAAGATAGACCATAGGCTTGAGAGAAATACAACTATTTAGTAAGAAAACAGAAACATTTCATCCCTCACAAAGACATTCAGTACATGTGAATGCAGTAGTGAGAGGTTTACCTGAGCTCCTCGCAGTGGGGGTACTTGAGGTCACTCTCCTTTCTTAACCTCGCCAGGACGGCCCCGCCCTCCCTCTGCAGTTCGACCAATCGGCTGTCCTCCAGTACATTCCTCATCAGAGTCCTCTGGTCCACCATGCACTGCTGCACACACTGTTGGGAAGAAATACATTTATATTAAAATGAGTTAGTCATACAATAATTCCTTCGCATTTATGCTTCTTCCTTGTACATTCCGGTGGATTTCCAATTTTGTCCAACTTTTAACAAATTGATAACTATAAGCCAGATATGTAAAGGTCCCATGTCTTGGCTATTTCTACTAATCATAATTCCATTGTTGAGGTCTACTAGAATAGATTTATATTGTGCAATTTTCCAAACTCACATTGGTTTCTCATATAGCATCTCTGTATAGTATGTGTATTCACTCTCTGTCCTAAACGGCTTGCTGGAGCGCCTTTTTAAATGTTGCTAGGAAATTCTGAATTAAATTCAGTCTGCGCACGAGACTGGTTTCTCACTGGGTTGAGTCGTGTGTTTTTTTTTAAGTGTGTTTTTTTTAAGTGAGATGCGGCACAGCAGCCTGTCAGTTTACTCTTGCTAGGTTATTTTGGCTATTATCATTTATATTTATCTGCAACAATGGATATCAGGAAGTGGTTCACGAACAAAAAGAGCTCACAAAAGGAATATGGCAACTCAGCGCCAGATGCAGGCACATCAGAATAAATCAGTTACGTTACCAACGAGCTAGCAAGGGACAAGGGAGGCTGGCAAGTGGCAACAAATTATATTTTGAAGAGAAATTGACTCTCAAGCCCTCTCACAAACTCCTGCTCTGTGCGCAAGCAGACTGCTGCACACACTCCTCTCTCCCTCGCTCAACCTCTCTCTCTGTCTCTCTCTCTCCCTCGCTCAACCTCTCCACCCTGCGTGCTCGCTCATGTTGGCACAGCGTTACAAATGTGCCACAAAACCAACCAATGGATGTACAATAAGACCGTCAACAGCCTGATGGCCACCTAAAACCCCTCTCTTTCCGTACCTCAGATAGAAGATATGATTGGAGACGAAACAATCGTCCTCCCCCCCTGTTGACAATTCACGAGCCTCGATCCAACCCCTAACCCCCACCCAATTCGCGGAGGGGTTGTTGTTACGTCACTTGGTTCCCGGAAGAAAAAAATGGAAAAAGAAAAATCTCCAACGAGGCGTTCTGGGGCAGCATAGACAGGTATTTTCTGTGTTAGAGTTTTACTCGCTACAGGGTGTACTTTGAGGGTTTGTGACTTTGCAGATCGTTTACAACATGCATAAAAAGCTACATAACACACAAGGGGACGGGTAATAACCGGAAAGCATGATATGGGACCTTTAAACAGAATTTGTATATCAATGGATCTATGTTTTAAGTTTCTACTGTAAAAAAACATATAAACTGAGTTAAATAAAGGTGGGGTGTGTAATTGATTTCAGAAACACTTTTTGTTATATTCCATGGAATGCTCTTAACATCCCGATAGCAATGAATATCTTAAGTGCTTTGACAATAAATCCATAAAAAAATTCATCTGTGGAAGCCGTGGCGCTGTAAAAAGCACGACCAATCATCTGAGCCGGCCTGGCTAAAATAACTGGATGGCCTACCTGCCTGTCAGCCTTCCATCTCGTGCACAAACTTATCTCGTGCCCTCATTGGTCATGTGCGCGTTCGTGTGTGTTGGAGGAGGGGCTCTGTAAGGAAGTCTGAAGGAAGGGGCAGATTTTTTTCGGCTGCGTAGTTTCAAATTCTAGAGCACTCGAGCTGGTTTCTCCATTCTTACCTACCATACCTTTAAATAAGTGGAGATAATCACAGCTTTTAATACCTAAATTACATGAGTAAGCAGTCAAAAGAAAGGTACCTGTACAGTGTCGGTCCTCTGGGGCTCCTCTAACCTACTGATGGCTCTCAGTAGAAGGCTGGATGCCTCATGAAGATCAGACACAAATGGGAAGAGTTTCTAGAGAATAAAAGATGTGGACAGGAGTAAATCATGATGAAAGTACTCCGTTAAAGAAGAGCAGCAGGTAATGTGCTGTCATGTCTTACCTGGTGCAGCTCTATCCAGTCACAGGGGCTGTGAGACATCGCTCCGTCCAGACGAGAGCTTAGCTGACTTGCCTCCACCAGCTTCAACAGGGCTTTCATCGACGTCACCACTTCAGTCTGCTTAGAGGACACAAGTGTCAGAAATACATCCACATGTTTCATTCCAAAGAATAAATAACGCAGAAATTCTCACATCATTGTTTGCAACATAACCCCCTTTGTGTTTTTTACTAAACATGACTGCAATGTTGCATATCAACTCGATCAGAAAAAAATGCTTTCCAAACAAACACAAAGTCAACAATCAATTAACACCAATTAATGGCAGAATCCCAGTGAAAGTCCACCACTGAAAATGTATCAAGAAACTGTTAAACTCACAATGTACATATGAAACAGTTTGTACAATGAGCACTACATTTGCTGTACATCTTTTTACAACAGAAAAGGTATTTGATTGTTTTGGATTATCCATCGGTTAATATTTAACCCTAAACAAAGCAAACATGTCTGAAGGTAAATGCAAGTGATGTTGTGGCTCACAAATGTTGATTGTCAAATGCTGTTCAAATATTTTTCTGGATTAGTGAGAATGGATTTAAAACATCATTAGGATGTATCCTCTGGAGACAGTAAAAGTCACATTTTCATGGTAATCCATCTTTTATCAAGATATTCTACTCAAAGTGATTATCCAACAAATTAACACATGTTTAATCCCTATAGCCACGCTGGTAGCATGGCTGAAAACAACGTTTAATCAAATTTTATAGCTACCCAAATGAATATGAAACTTTCAAGAGTTAGAGAAAGTGGGAGAAAGCTGACCTGGATGCCGGGACACCGCTCTGGCTGAAGATTTCTGTCCTTGTCCACCAGCAGCACGAAACTGTTTACTGCGTGCAGAGTCAGCTCCTGAAACAGTTTATCACTATAAATCTATTCAACTACACTCATGCATCCTCCAGGTACACCCTGTTATTGATCATCACAAATAAATCATAGGACACTTGAAAGGCCATAAACATATGCAAGTAATCGAAATGATTTTCTTTTTCAATCTTATAAACAAAATGTAACAAAAAAAAACCGTTTTATTTGTTAGACAATATATTACACCATTAATTGCAAAACAATCTTTGTTACATTAGACAGATATATTCAACAATCTGGAGTATGTTGATGCTCAGGAGCTGCTGCATTATTCAGCATTGATATTTTACAAATAACTTATAGACTGCTTTCAGAAAACAAAACACCCACAGTTGACACTGAAAGCTGTAGTCAGCTGTTTCTCTCCTCATTACCTGAAGCGTCATCAAGGCCTTGTAGAGCTGCGGCTGAGGATTTATCTTCCTCGAATCAAAAATAAGAGTCATCCCAGCTTCTCTGATTTCTCTCCTGGATCCAGAAAATAAAAAGCCAATAAATACACAACCACAATAAAACAGACTTGACCACAACAATGCTAAAACTTTTTTGTAGATTGACTTTAAATACACAGGGTTTGTTAAAACCTGGTTAATTAATGTCTTCATGGTTTTACTGGCATATGGATGTGACCTGGTGATGGTGCGGAAGTAGAGCAGCATCTGGAAGAGCTCCTGGCTGGTGACAGCTGATCTCCATCCCTGGTGATGTCCATACAGCTCCACGATCGCCCGGCCTGTCCTGTCTCTGCCGCCTGTAGGGGTGAGAGAGAGGAGAGATCAGGGAACATGCTGGGAGAATTTACAGTCAATGAATGACCTCTAAAAGAGAGAATAGAGAGAATAAAGCATCCACTTTGTTATGAATGAATCCCAATTTTGCTCATGCTGACACTTGAGGAGGATTACAAAGGAGGGAGGCTTCTTTATATTTAATTAAATAGAATTATTTAATTGGTTCTCATTTGTACATGTGTTCTGTTAATGCAGAGCAAAGAACAATGTATATTGATTCATTTGATCATCGTGGTTATTTGCTGTGTCTCAAACTAACTCACCGGTGAGAGCTGCCACTCCTAAGTAGAGGGGGTGGGCTCTGGGGTCCGGGGACCCCAGGGGGAGGTGGTCCGGTCTGGGACGGGTGGAGGTGGGCTGGGACATCTTCTGTGTCTCTGCTGCTTGAATTGGATCTGTCTGTGACGGCTGTTCCGTCTGATGGCCATCTCTGCTGCTGAACGTACTGCCAGGCTGAGCAGCTTCTGAGGAGAGTGGACACATTTGACTGGTTCTAATCCGCTACACAACAACGTGTTAGTTATTAGGTAAAAATGCCCTTACAAGATGCTTATTACCATCATTATGTTCTAATAAGACCACATACGTGTTACTAAGAGCATCATAAACATGTTTATTGCTAGATTATAAGACATTTATAAGCACTTACAAGTCACTTTTAAAACGTTTATAGACTGTTTAAGAACAATGACAAAATCCGTATTAGATTTTTGTTTTTAAAGGATTTAAAGCATAAAGCATATTTAAATGTATAACTGGTAGCTGTAAATAGCATAATTACATTACATTACATTACATTGCATTTAGCTGACGCTTTTATCCAAAGCGACTTACAATAAGTACATTCGACCAGGAAGACACAACCTTGAAGAAAACAGAATCATATAAGTACATCAGGTTTCATAGAGCCAAACATTTCAAGTGCTACTCAACTGGCTTTAGGTAATCCAGTCCTTTATTAGTATAAAAGTGCTTCGTTAATCGTTCTAACGCTCGAAGTGGAGTCGAAAGAGATGAGTTTTCAGTTTGCGCCGGAAGATGTGCATAATTCACTGTTAGTAAGTGTTAGCTACAAAAAATAAAATCATTTATCTTAAGATAGCAACAAAAAGGTTTGTAAAGGTAAGGTACGTTAGTCAATAAATGTATCTGTATTGCTATTAGAAAATAATTATAAGGAACTTCTAGGTTTTTCTTTAACAATCTAAAGCAAGCTATAAACTGGTAACAAGTTATTTAAAATTATTTAAATGTAACAAGTGTGTGAATTAGCGTTTGTAATGCTACTAAACGCTTATTAGAAGCACCTTTATGTAAGTTCTATGCAATTATGAAATTCACAACCTCCTGCTAAAGGTCTGACCAGAGTAGAATAAGTTAAAAGAACAAGATGACATTAGTACCTGGAGCTGCCATATTCCTCCGGTTGATCTTGGGTGAAACCAGTCCAAAGGCTGTGCTGTTTTTACATTTCACCACATGCAGCTGGGGAATCTTTCCACAGGAGCCGGAGTTGTCTTTTCTCCGAACATTTTGACCTTCAACAAGGACCAGTGAACACTTCTCAGAGGTGTCCACCACAGCTGTGGACAGGGAGGAACATCTGCCATCAAACATGGACTCCGGTCTGTTCTGCGACGCTGAAAGAGGAAAGTTAGCACTCACTCCCGTGGAAATGGTTCTGCTTTGTAGCCTTTCACGAGGCTTGAGGTTCACCGCTGAGATTTCAGAGGAAGTAAACGGTAATCCGCCGTGTTTAACAGAGATGACATCTGGCTGATTGTTTGAACTAGACAAAGCTCTATTAGTGTTTGTCCTCGTTCCTGCCGCTAAATGTGTCCCGTTTACATTGTGTAAATTGCCATACGTTTTGGCAGAGTGTGCATCCCTTGGTTCCCTAAAGGGCTGAGTGGTCCTTTCAGGTGTTGCTTCTGGTTGCCCACCACATTGTAAAGCATTTGTTCCCCTGTAATCCATACAGGGGGCATTTTTTGTGTCTCCTGTTTTCCAATATGGAACAGAGCTTTTTTCTCCCGACTCCTCACAGACCGAGGAAGGAGGCTGCTGTTGCGTAGCAGAGGTAATCCACATTCCTTGAACATTACACCGCGGATCCTCTGTCTCTGGTAGTCTTTCATCACACTTAGAGAAACCATCCTCCTCCACCATTGTCAACATGTGCCCACTCTCCTGTTTAAAGTTGACAGGGTTGTTTATAGCAGCCTGGTAGGAGTCCCTGTATCGACACTTCAGCTCCGGAGCCCTGGAGGCCTTTCCGCCTTGTCTTCTCCTCTGGCACGGGGTACAGGGTTTCTCTGAGAAGCGGACACACTGAGAAACCTCCAGGGAGTCAGGGTGAGGCTGATGGGATTGGGAATGGTACGGAGGTGGTTTTTCAGACACGTTGGGCCTAAATGATGCTGCCGCCTCTGGTCTAACATGACTTTGAGTTTGTGGCTTTGTGAGAAACTGCACCTGAGCTTGTGACTGGGCTTGAGGTGGATGACTCTGTGTTTGCCAGTGCGACTCCATTTGTGGATGTGGTGGCCTGTGTGGAAGCCTTTGCATTTGTGGTTCAATTTGTGTGTGCGGTTGCATTTGCACTTCTAATTTCTGCCGTTCTTTAGTTGCTGACTTAGCTCTACTAAAAAGCATAGTTGCCTGAAGTATATCAATATATTCCCCTTCCTCCACAACTGGGCCTCTTCTGCTTATATCTTTAGGTTTTTGCGGCCCTATATTTTCAGAAACAATTCCAGCCTTTTCTTCACCTTTGCACCTAGTTGTATCTTCCCTTGCAGAAGTGCCTGCACCTGGAACAGTGCTTGTTTTTGGACCTGCCCCAGTAGAGCAGCTGTCCCAAGTATTAGGGGACACCCAGCCCACAGGCTTAGGCTCAGCTTCAGGTTCTTTAACTTTGACCGGCCGCGAGGAAGACGCAGCGCTAGTATCCACCAGGCGGAGTGACACAGCAATGCCGTGCCTCACTGGACATATTCTGGTCTCCACGGAGAAGGCAGACGGATGAGAAGAAGATGATGAATTTGAATTATGAATGCTAACAGGATACTGTTTTGGTGCCGATTCTTTGGAAGGAGGAAGAGGAAATAAAGAATTTGAAGAAGAACTCTCAGGAAAATGAGGAGGTCGAGGAATCGGAGGTAAAGGAGGATATGAAGGAGGATATGAAGGAGGAGCAGAGGCCATGCTACTCCCAGCACACAGTGGCACGTCCACAAAATCAGGCACAGCAACCCGTCCCCATGGTAACCTCACCACGCCCTGCTCGGTGGTTAGCAGGCAGCGGCTGAGAGGTGTTCCATGGCGGCCTTGGTTGATCTCTTCCAACCAATCAGAGCTGAATATACAAGGATAGGAAGTCTCAGGGATGGGATTCTCCTCTACTACTTCCACCTCAAGCCCCTCCTCTTCCAGGAGGCTGCAGACTACGATGCGAGCTGATTGGTCACAGAAAGGGGCCACCTGGAGGTAGAAGTCGCCGGGCTGAAGTATCAGCGGGTTGATGGGAGCAAGGTGGACGACAACTTGGTCACGCAAACACAGAGGCCAGCCCTCACACAGGAATAGAACATCAGAGTACTGAGCCTAAAGGAGAGAAAATACTCAGATTCAGAAAGTATATAAGCTTATTTTTCTTATGAAAGCCCAGCTAGAAGATCTTTGGGCAGCTTTGTTTCATATCAACATAGGGAATGTAGGTGTCTTTATCCAGAAGTGTATTATAAACAGTGACTTACACATGCAGCCTGTTGCACGCTGTCTAAGATGTGTTTGGCTGGCACCAGAAAGTCCAGCAGGCACCGCAGGGCATCCCCCCGATAATGGCTATCTATGACTTGGAAGAGCTGGCTGAGGAGAGTGGGGGCGGTAGCCTCGAAGGGAGGGTACAGCACCGACAGCAGGTTCTGGATCGAGCTTTCCAGAGAATTAGGGTTCTGAAAACACAAGAGAGGAAACAAGGGCTCAATAAAAGCTCTGCTCGACATCCTACCTACTGGGTCCTTGATGATCCCCACTGCGTCATTTACTGGTAAACCAGGCTATGATCTGTGGGTGCTGTATACTGTAGATGTGCACCACTCTGAACTTCCCACCAGTGACTCAGGATATAACGGCCATATGCTGAAAAAAGTGACTTTATTCTAAATAGATTGATACTTTATTTATCCCAATGGAAATGTAGGCATTCAGTAAGTTCCACTAAACATTCAAACGCTGATGAACACAGGAATGGCACCCCGAGGTAATAGATGGCATTAATGAAGGTAATGCAAATAGTGATTACATGTAAGTAATTAAATAATAAAGAATACAAATAGTGCAATATTAATAAGGGTTACATTGGTAATATAAAATACAGTACAAATTAAATATATATAAATATATGAACAAACATAAACTCTGTCATCCTGCCAAACATCGTTCAAGAACTCAACCCTTCGTCCTGAATGAAAACAAGTGATGATTCTCTCTAATAGCGAGTTTGAAAATGTAATTGCCTTTTTTATTCATTTATCAATTCTGGGTTCCTGCTACACATGCAACTAGATGATCAGTTTAATGATTTAATTGAATTGAGTATACCATTGATTATATTAAGAAAATAGGTGAAATTGCCAATTTCAATTTCCTTAACAATATTTTATTAACAATTACATGATTCAGAGGAAGGCTTCAATCATTACATTTTAGAATTGATGAAAAAACTGATTTGATGCCTTATTAAAATGAGGATTTTCATCAATGATGTGAACTACAGAAGTCTGCAAAAGGCATTTACTTGAATTCCCTGTAAGGCAAGGCACGTTTCAACACAAGGCAATTCAAAGTGCTTTACAAAAATAAAAGACATTAAGAGCATTAAGAGATAGTGCAGCGGAAACACGTTATAAAATGACATTTAAAAACAGTCATTAAAAAACAAGATAATAAAATAAAGATAAAACCTGAATAACACGGGTATAAAATACATGAATAACCCTGTCTATTAAAGCCTCCCCGAGACCTTTTTATGTTTCCCAGAAACTCCCCTTTCTTTTTTAGATTCCCTGAATCTGGATTTTAAACCTATTTTTAAAACAGATAAATATTACTGTGTAATGGACAGTACTGCATTTCCAAATATTTGGACTACCTATGTTGCAAATGTATTATCTTTTCAATTTACACACGGCATCTATTGCACATCTGTCCATCCTGGGAGAGGGATCCCTCCTCTGTTGCTCTCCCTGAGGTTTCTCCCATTTTTCCCTTTAAACTGTGGGTTTTCTCTGGAAGTTTTTCCTTGTACGATGTGAGGGTCTAAGGACAGAGGGTGTCGTATTGTCATACTGATATTCTGTACACACTGTGAAGACCACTGAGACAAATGTAACATTTGTGATATTGGGCTATATAAATAAACATTGATTGATTGATTGATACTGCTCCACAACAGGAAACCAGGAGTCAGTCATAATCATCTCCCTTGCGTCTCACAGTAAATTACACAAATCTGTCCTCAGCCTGCTGAGAGAATAGCTACACAAACACAAACACTCTGTGCTCATCATTAAACATATAGTCAGCCTGCCTGACAGAAAACATCCACGTAAACACAGTGTGTTGCTCTGAGGCTAGCTCCCTCCTGGTCTTTGGTTTCACATTCCCTTTGACCTGAACTCATGGCCCGCTACCTACTTTTAGGTCCTGCTTTATTTAGAACCAGTCAAAGGCCATAGCAGAGGACCTCGGGGGTTAATGTATATACACGCATATCTGAGGCTCTCAGGAGATATATGGCAACAGGAAGGGTTGTGTGTGAATGTCCACGCAGAGCAGGAATGTTGCTGCCCTTTTTCCCCAGGGCTGTGTCCAGTGTTAAGTAGTAGTGAAAAGTAGTTACTTTGCGGTTAAATATTTGAAAACCTGAAATTAATACATACAATTTAATGCAAACTGTCAAACAGTAAATTAAGTAACAGTATAACAAATGAATACATTAGCACTTTTGTAGCAAGTTAATTGTGCTTTTCACTGCATCAATAATAATACTAATGTAATAATATGATATAACAATGTAACAACTAAATTTGGCCCATTTAGCTGCAAAAGGAGTACATTTGAACTTAAAGTACATTTCTTGATTATACACACTCATTTCTTTAAATAAGTAAGAAATTAAATTCAGACGTTAAGTTAAGATTCAAGTATTTGAGGTATTGGTACTTTTAATTTAGATCATCTTGATACTTTTTCCCTCACTGCAGAGAAATGTGTGTTAGGGTGTGATGAAGTATGTCCCCTCAGACTAACACTGCTCTGTAACCCTCCAGCTCTGCTATCTGTTGTGCATGTCCTTCTCTGCACCTTTAAAAAGCAAACGATACAGTGCTTTGGTCCTTCGGTTTCTTATCTGCTTTCCCCCTCACAACAACAGCCATCCACCCTCTCTGCCTTATAGCCTCACATTATGATCTCAAATGCTGGATTCTCAGCCAATCCTCAACCCCTACAGCTCCAGAAATAAAGACTGTGACTCACAGCTTCCTGGTCACCCGGCCACAACCCGCTGGGACAGGATGTAGTGATGGTCATCAAGATAACAGAGGAAGGAGGAGGAGGAGGAGGAGGAGGAGGAGGAGGAGGAGGAGGAGGAGGAGGAGGAGGAGGAGGAGGAGGAGGAGGAGGATGGTGGCAGACCCAGAAGCACAATGTGTACTGTAAAGCACATTCAGTTCACAGCTCATAAAATTTAATTAAATAAAAATGCTTGCCCGTCCTAGATTATAATCTCAGTGTTTCTTCTCTGTTGTCTGTGAAGGAGGTCTGGGATTCTGGGTGGCTGGAATTTAAAATGAATCTGAACTAAAGAAGAAAACTAAACAGTGGTGACGGGTTGGGTCTCCTGGCTACAGTGATAGGACATGCAAATGCTTTGAGCGCTTACAAAACAAGTGACATTTTACTTGGAGCGTGATAACACTGCTGGTAATATGAGTCAGCTTGGAGAATTTGAATAAAGAAAACATTTAGCAGCCGTGCTGAGTGTGTTTTATTGATGTGTGTGTCTGTGTGTCAGTCTGCAGTATGTGGTGTATGAGAGGACTGCATGGACATGTCTTTCTGCCCGGGCCAGCACACTGTTGCTGCAGATTCACACGGCTCAATATAAACACCCAGATCTCTCAGCTACTGAAATAAATGACGACTCACATTACTGTGGATAAGATGTCCCATAGCTGGAGCTGAGGACAGTTTGAATGTCTCTGTCCAGTAACATTATGAATCAGAAATAGTCTTAACACATTCCTGGTGTCAAGCAGCCTTGAGAAGAAATACATATTTAACAATGATAGAAGGAGAGCATGCTGACTTCATGCATTCCTTTAGGACATTTCTCCACTGATTTAACTGTGACATTGTGTATTTAATAGGTTTTTGGGGGTATTTTCCCTTTTTAAATGTGATGAAGGACATGGTGGGAGAGGGAGAGGTGGTGACATGTATTCCAAAATCATTAACTAATTTCAATCATATGAAAACAGAGGAAATCATTAATGTTATTATAAATATATACTTTATATCAAATCGTTATTTTACAGCTTCACACACTTAGGTCAATATAACATAAAGGTTGTCTTTACTTATTATTATTTATATAACCGCTGTACCCCAACCCCCACGTTTCAATAAAGAAGCATCACAAATATTCAGTCTGTGTAACATCATGTATACAAAATGCCTGAGAAATATGCAAAGTACAATAAGCACAAGTGATGTGAATCGGCCTCCACAGACTCTGATACTGCCTCTAAATAAGCATGAAAAGAATCCATTTCCTGTGTTTATGTCTGTGGTTTTTCATCTTTTCTATACAGATTCCCCACTGGATTACACTATCTAAAATGGTTTTCCTGCTCCCCACACAAAGAACAGCTGAAGGACAGACATGGTTAACGTACAGGAAGGACTTTATCACAATTTAATATCACAAGTTATGGAAACCTAATGGAACTACATCTGCCTACCAAACTTGAGTTTCAGGCATGGTCTTGTTTTCAGTTAAAACGTCAATGTATTTAGTTCAAATTATTTTAAACGGGAAACAGACAGAATAGACAGATGACTGTGTGCATGTCACCCTCCATTTACATCACCTAAACAAAAGTATGAGTGTCCTGAGCACTTTCTAGTTTATTGAAATGATGCAGCTTCGACAAATAATGTCAATCAGCAGGTGGGACCCATGTCTCCAGTCAAGGCAAACACACACATGTTAATGTTACACGTCTTTGGATGAACATAACAGTGATGTGTTTGTGTAAGATGACTGATATCGCACTGGCAGTGAACATAAAGCATTGTTGGCGGCTTTTCTTTCACACCTTGAGTACTGTTTCATTTCAACATGGGGATTTGTCGGCTCTTAACACTTCACACAAGATTAAAATCCTGCTATGTCTTTGGAGAGGACATCTGGGTATACAGAGGCAGACTTATACATTCATTCTGTTCCCTAAACAAGTTACCTATCCATCCTCCTGCTGTGAGGAAAGATCAGAGGAAGTGTGAGTCCTAAATGTGACGGGAACATTCTTAAATACTGCCGATGCTAATTCAGCGAGGAGTCAAGGTCGGGGGGATTGAGGGTTTGCATTTTGGCCAATCAGCTAAATCGACTCCAGGAGCACTCTGCTGTATCCGACCTCAGTTGAAAAAGACTACAACTTCAGCAAGCTTTCCACCTCACCATTTTAAATCAAATTACAATCCCAAATCTCTGCTGCAGGTGTTTGATATGGCTTTATTTCACACTCAACCATCACTTAATTAATGAGAAGCCAGTGAACAGCAGTTGGTATATGCCCCACAACAAAAGATGGATTTGAGCAAAGTGTATTGGTGATGAGTGAAGAAAATGTTCACTATTATGAAGCATTTAAAATGTGCTCAT